TTTTTTTCTTGTTTCTGTACCCTCTTACATTTTGGTCTTTGATTATTTTATTCACTTGGAAAAAAAAAGGTTAAAAAAATTAGCCATAACAGGTACTCTCTGTATCCGAAATTTTGTTAACTCCTATCAATTTGGAATAGCTTTAGCTGTCCAGTACTCATTCAGCTATGATAATGGATATTTTCATATATTAATTAACAATTCGATTTTGTAGATTGCAAAAATTTAAAATTTGATTTTAATTTAATGAGACAAATGTTTACTCAACCTGCTGAAATTACACTACTTGTCTCTTTTTTTTTTTGTTTAAATTTTTTGGGGTCAAAAATAAAATACCTCTAGATATATAGTTGCAATTCATTAAGTAAATTTTGTTAATGCAAACTAATTTATTATTGTTGGTGACTAGGGTCCCAACCATTTGTTGATAACCAATTGTGTGCCAAAAAGATGTGCTCATGAAGAATCTGTACTTTGCACCAACAATCGTTCTCCAGTTCCAATCATACTCCATTTCTTTTTTCATTACACTTCCATTAAAGCTTGCATATTGCTATTTTAGTTATAAAATTAACAAACAAACTTAATTGCTTGGAATAGGTATGTTTTTTTTTTTTAGAGTCATAGCTAGCTTTTCCACTACCTAATTTTTATTTATATGATTGGGGAAAAGGGGTGTGGGATAAAGGTTTTGAGATTGAGCTGTAACCTTAATTAATCTTTCTTGTATGCATACAAACCAAAGAACATTCTTCAAATTAAAAAAAAAAAGGCTATCTTTTTATTCCTCTTTTCTAAGTTCTTGATAAGGGAGTTGATTGAAAGGCTTTAAATAAATTGGCAATAATACATCTATATATGGCTGATTGGGATAAAATAAATTAAAACGCTACTTTGTACAAAAAGCCTTTCAAGATTACATTGAAATAACAACCATTACAACCTTATACATTTTATTAACACAAGTGTAAGAAAATTGATCATGCCAGGGGATAAGTATGCATAAAATTTAGAAAAATAATGTAATGTGAGAAGTTTAATCTTGATATAATCACATGGTGATTTTTTTTAAATTTTTTGTGATTTATCCTATAATTTTAATTAATATACTAATTAACAAATTATTTTTAAATAAAGATGCAAATTAAAACTCACAAAAGTAATAAGGGATTTACATATAATAATAATCAGGAGATATGACTCCATCTAATAATATAGAGATTAAATTTCCTTGAATTTACATGAACTTTTTTTTTTATTTTATGGATATGTTTCTCACCAATAATTAGGTTTCATAGTAACCATGATTATGACAAGTCCACCATATTTTTCTTATGAGCAACAACAAGTTGCATTAATTTTTTGTGGTATTAATTTTTTATTTTTATTTTTAAAGCTTCTTTGTTTGGTTAAAGACTTGAATGTCTAAAATTACACTCATTGAAAGGACATTCCCTAACCCTAGCAAGGTATGGAAGAAATTGTTAACCTTTGCCTTGACGACTAATGCAGGGCAATTCTTAAACACAATCATTTAAAATGTCATATTTTTTTCTCTAAGTGCTTTGATAATCAGTGAAGTACTAAAATTTGTCTATAACTATTGATTTTTTTAGAACATTACTCTAAAATGCACTTGAATGAAGAAGATGATCTACCTTTGTTTGAGTCTATCTCAATTTTTGTATCTCTCATGGGATATCACATTAATGAAGATATGGATATCACTTATTACGAACTTATACTTTCAATCCAAAAGATATGAATATTAAATAAAAGAAGACCTTTCTTTATAAGTTTAAGATTTAAACATTTTTACTGATGAGAAATTCATGATACATATATGTATTTCACTGTTAAAAGAATTGAGTCAAATTTTTTCTTTTTCAAATTAAAAAAAATAAAAAGAAAAAGAAGAAACCTACTCTACAGCTATTAACTCCTTTACAAATTAATTCTTGTAATGGGTAATCTCTCATCATAGTCTTGGTTATCATTTGAGGATTTGAGGGAGATCATTAGATAAGGCTAGTAGATTAGTTTATTCTATACTTAAATTTAAATTACCTCCTTATTAAGGATATTGAAACAACAAGCTTTAAACTTATTTAATTACCCAGCCAGGTTAATACAAGGAATGAACATTTAGCAGGGTGGGAAATTAAAACTAAAAATTTATATGAAAAATTGAACTCTCAAAATTCATGGTTGAATAAGTGAGAGTACTTATTTTGATTAGTAAGTTGAATTAAACTTCCAAGTTAAAATGAAATTTAATATTAATCCTTTTCTATTTTCCATTCAAATGCAAAACCATACCAGCCAGCTGCCAGCCATTCATTGATTAGGCCAAAATCCATACAAATATCTTAGCACTTTGCTTTCTCAATGCAAAGAACAATTATTTTCCCCCACAACTTCTTTTCAATACATTCTCCCATAGATACATTATTTAAGTATTGGTTGGATTGAAATTGTATTGTATCTTAAGCAATTAACTCCACAATTTTCTAAAACCTTGACAGCCTAGCAGGATACCTGCTGCTTAGACAGTAACAAATCTTGTTTCTTTAAAACTATTTAAAAGGATATTTTTTAGTATAAGGAAAAAAAGGGGCTTTAATTAAGGATTTTTCTATGCAAATGTTGTCTGAACAATAGACCAATCATCACAACAACATAGACTTTGTTAGATTGAGCCCTAATTATGCTGTTCCTTTTGTTTTTTCCTAATTATACCGGTCCATTATACAAGAAAAATTAGATCATTCAATCTAAACAAAAATCACATCTACGCACTCAAAATCTAAAAGCAATTTCAAAACCATAGGAATCCATGCACACACACATAACTAAATACTTAACCAAAAATCAAATTCCAGCATATGCAAACACACATGCAAAAGCAAACTTTAATGAAAAAAAATCAAATTCGAAAACCATTTAATCAGAACAAACATCAAATCTCTCCGAATCATTACGTTGAAAAATACTGATATCTAATAAATCAAGTTTTTTTTTTATATTACATTGATAATTTTGCGATAAAAGATGAAATTTTATGGTTTATGATATTGATGCCATTCTTGTTCATTTGGCGGCAAACTATTACTGATCTTGAATTCTGTCGATATTTCATTGTTATTTGATTGGTTTACTACTAACCATTGATTCATTGTTATTAGATCGGTAATTTATTGATAGCTATCAATGGATTATCACCAATGAAGTTGATTATGTCGGTGAAAGTTAATTTTTTGGTACTGAGAATTGAATGTCTTATAAAAACAAAATTTTGAATTACTTGAGGTGAAGTGTTCTTTAATTTATTCTATTAGAGGAATAATTCATGGGTTATATTTTGATATAATTAGTGATTGTATAAAAATTATAATATTATTTATTTGGATACATAACGAATTTCTGGTTTTTACAATAAAAGTTTTCTTTTTCTTATATTATAAATACAACTTCATTTAATATTTGAATTCAGAACTTTTAATTGAGTCATAAGTTTTAATCATTGAGATATTTCCTTGAAAAAATAATACAGAAAAGATGTCATTGATTAAGGAGATGTTACTTTGTTTTAAATGATTTATAACCTTAAAAAATGTTAAAAACATTTTGTGGATCTTATAATATGCTAACTGTGGAGATAGGGTTTGATTTGTTTTACAAGCTATTGACTTGTAATAGTCAATGTATTTTTCAAATGTGTTTGATAAAAGTGTTAGAACTAATTAGGTGCATATATATATATATATATATATTTATATTATGATAATGGCATCTATAGTGGTTGGCAGAACAATACTTCCAAGTAACTTCACTCAGTTTTTCTAAACTAATTCAAAACATTTTTCATGCAACTTGTTTTCTCTTGAATGACCCTTCATCATACTATTTCTCTTTAGTTTTTCCATTTTTTTGGAAAAAAATTTAAAATTTAATTTCTTTATTGCATTCACAACTTATTCTTTTACTTTCAGAATTAAAAAAAATAAAAAAATTTCATTTGGATATGAAAAATGAAAAAAAAATATTGAATAAGGTTAAGTAAAGATGATACGTAATTACTTAATACCATTCTTTAAACCAACGTCGTGGTAGTGTTAATATTTTTCTTACATATAATCATATTTTTGAATTTTAAAATTGTTTCATCACTTAAAATTTATTTTATTAAAAATAATATTTTAAAAATAATAAATTCTAATAAGTGGTCAATTATATTTAAATAAAAAAATTAGAGACAGTTTCGTTTTACATTGAGGTGCATTTACAATAATAAAATTAATTGATTTTTATTACGTTCATTTTAGTTGAAAGATAGAAAAAAGAAGTAATTATGAGATAAAAAAGTGGTGGGGGCAACGTGCTTAAGATGGGACACCACTCTTCCAAAGCGACAAATCATTTATAATCAGTCCGATTTTAGCACTAAGCGTATTTTAGGTAAAAATGGTTGGAAAAATGTTTATTCATATACATATGCATAATTTTTCTCCAACTCCAAATAAGATACAGCTAAACAACTGGAATTTCTTGAGATTCTAATTCAATTCATTGAACAATAGAAGCTTCTCTCTTCTAAATTGCAGTTTAAAAGTTTTACATACATATATATATATTTTAAAAATAAAATAATTATTTGTAAATTTTTTTTAATTTTTTTAAAAATAAATATATTGTATAATGAACTCATGGTTTGTTGGAGAATTATATTCCTAAGTAAATGAATGCTTGACGGATTTATTTGATTATATAAAAAGGGAGAGCGGTACAGTCAGCAAGCATGAAGAAAGAAGGAGTAATCGTATCTTTCCAAATATAATATGGCGTGGCGTAAAGTAATTGACCGCCAAAAGTATACACACATTTTAAATAATATATATATAAAAAAAAACAATCAAAAGCCAAAATTTTGATTACGTGTAACTCATTTGTAAATCGGCGCGCCTCTCCCTCTCGCTCCCTTAAAAAGGAAAATAAAAAAAAAAATAAAAACCACTAAAACAAAAAATGAAAAAATGAAAAAAATAATTTTCTCTCGCTTTCTTGTAATTATAAATTTCTCACATCATTCTCTTCCGTGATCTCTCTCTCTCTCCTTTTCTCTCTGAACAAACCAAATTTCTGTTTCAGTTACCCTTTTTAATTTCCAGAGAAAGAAAATTTCCACATTCTTTTACACAGAAAAGAGCAATAGGAAGCTAGGGTTTTTCTTTTCCTTCTCAAATTTTTCATTGTAGAAATTCACAGGTACGTCTCTTTCACCTGAAGTTTTCTTTCACTTTCAACATTTTTCAATCAAATGTCCTCATTTTCCCATTTTTTTGATCCTTTTTTTTTGGATTTTTATGTGTGAAGTTTTTGACTTTTGGTATTGTTTATCAGGTGAAGAAATGAATTGGGCTTTGTTCCTTTCCAATTTTAGGGCATAGGCGTAGGATTTTTATATGTGAAACTTTGTTTGTTTTTGATAAATTTTGGAAGCTAAATTATGGCTTGGTTTTTGTAATTTTATTGTATAATTTGTTGTCTTTTTGTTACAAAGTTGTGATCTTGGGGTACATTAGAAGGCAAATGAGGCAAATGGGTTATTTGCGTTAGGAAAAAAAAAAAAATCAGGTGAAGGAAAAAAGGGAAAATAATGACAGATTTTCAATCTTTACAACAAAAACCCGAATCCCAAAATGATGCCAGAGCCGAATTTGAAAGGGGCTTGGAGGAATTAATGAGAGGGCATTTAGATGATTGTATGCCATTTGCATCATGTAGTTCTAATAGAAATCCTGATGACGAGGATGATGAGGGTGATCAGCTTGTTAGGAGGAGGAGAAGGTCTGATCTTGAAGGTGATGACTTGGCTGAGTCATCCGCAGCTAGAAGACGGCATTCTAGGATTTTGAGTAGGTGGGCTGCTAGGCAGGCTCAGGAAATGATGACAACGATTGAGAGGAGGAATAGGGAGTCTGAATTAATGGCTTTAGCCGGTTTACATACTGTTTCAATGCTCGACTCTTCATTCTTGAGAGAGTCACAGTCACCTACTTCTAGGCGACAGGGGGGCAACGTTGAGAGGCCGAGTACTCAGGCTTCTGCGATTTTGCAAATGTGGAGGGAGTTGGAGGATGAGCATTTGTTGAATAGGGCGCGAGAGAGAGTGAGAGAAAGGTTGAGGCAACGAAGGAATGCTGATAGTAATGCGACAGTGTCTAGTACGACTTTGTCTGAGAGTCGCGGGAGTGAGAATCATGGGAGTGTTGGGGATGCGAGTGAGAGTGAGAATGAGTATGGACCTTGGTCACATGATCAGGGTGTGTCACAGAATGATCGTGGGGATAATAATGGGTCTAGTAGGGAGCAGTCTCCTGATCTTGGCGAAGTCGAGAGGGAGAGGGTGAGACAGATTGTTCGGGGGTGGATGGAGAGTGGGATTAGTGATCATTCATCCAATGTGACGCAAAGGGCTGGCAGTTCTAGGGCTGAATGGCTTGGTGAAACGGAGCGTGAGCGAGTTAGAATTGTGCGGGAGTGGGTGCAAATGACAAGTCAGCAGAGAGGAGTTCGTGGAGGACGGAGGGAAGATCAGGCAGCAACAATTGGTGCAGAAGGTGATCGAGTTCGTGAGGGCTCAGTTGCTGACCATGACGAAGGCCAACCGGAGCATATTCGCAGGGACTTGCTGAGGTTGCGTGGAAGACAAGCTGTAATTGACTTGCTTGTGAGGATTGAAAGAGAAAGACAGAGGGAACTGCAGGGTTTGTTGGAGCACCGTGCTGTATCTGATTTTGCTCATCGTAACCGCATTCAGGTCAGTTGGATATCATGAAGTGTCTTAATTTTGTGCATCTCTAATATGGTACTAGCTCTCTTGCATTTGTAAATTGCTTCATATGATACTTTTCTTTATTTCAGTGAATTATATTCAGCTATACTTCGGAGATTTGTATTAAACTTTTCTAATTTGTGGAACATATCTAAAATATTGCAGAGTTTAAATTGAATTTGAGTAAATGATACGTATTTCTGTTTTGTACTAATGTTGTGTTACTTAGTTTTGCACTAGTGTTGTAGTATACATGTATGCTTTCTCTTTAATTGTGTATTTCTTATATTTGTTTGAAATAAATGGACTACAAGTTATTGCCTTCCATTCATTGATGTTTGTTCCATAGTTTGAGTCAAGGCTTTGAGTCCAGCATATGTTTTAGTTTCATGTAGGATTCACCTGTTTCAATACTAAGGTACTAAGGATGCTCTACTTTAAGTCAAGATGCCATTTTGATGGGACTTTGTGGAATTCTAAGCCTTTATGATTGACTCAACTGTGGGCTGGACTTGCTTTCATGTTTAGTTCCTCAAGAAACTTGATCTATTTACCTTACTAGGATCAATTTGAATTGATTTGATTTTCTTTTATGGTTTATGGTTCTCCTGACCAACCAAAGAATCAACAAATAAATAAAAAAGTACATAGCAAAGGAATAAAAATTTGAAATAGAGAAAGCATGAGTTTAGCTTCTTTTTTTTTTGGATTAAAAAAAATTCAATATCAATAGGAGGTTCTGTTCTGTACTTTTCTGCAATGTTATTCTTGAAGAAACTTGAATGTCTATAGTATTGGTTAGATCGATTTGAATGGTGTTTTAATAGTTGACAGATCTTTTTTCATCATGTACCATATTGATTTCTTGAACTATTAGTCAATGTTAGAGTTTCTAGACGACCATGACCTTAAATGATGCTTTAGGCTGACTTATGATACTATCATATGGATAACTTCACTCATTTTCATGTTTCCACTTTTAAAAAAGTTTTTTCCTTGATAAATACAATTCGGTGCTTCAGTTTTTACCATTTTTTACCCTACAGTGTTGCCCGAATAGGAATTAAGATGCAGAATGTTCATGCTAGGCTAGAAATTAAAAGGACATGTGCTTTTTTTTTCCTTCTTAGTAGGTAAAACTTGCTATATCAGGGTTAAGAGTGAAGGTAATATCGATTCTGATGTTTTTGAAAATATTTTAATGTTCTATTAAAGTAAAAACACATGGGAATTAGCTTTTATGTATCACTTCTGGACTATTGTGTAATGACACCTCATGATGGTAATATATTTTTTGGTCTTGCTCAATGAAAGTCCTCTGGTATTATGAGTTTTTGCTTACATACATGGCCATGCTTGACTAATAATACTTTTATTTGCAGTCGCTTCTCAGAGGTAGATTCTTACGAAATGAAAGACCTGTTGAAGAGGAGAGACCGCCTTCAATGGCAGCAAGTGAACTAATTCTATTAAGACAACGACACACTGTATCTGGTTTGAGGTATGAAATGCTTTTATTCATGCTCACATTAAGAATTTTTGAAAAATTTTCACTGTTATTCAAAATATTTTGGTGATAGTTTTTAACAGGTTGATTGTTTGTAAAACAATGATGTTATGCGTCGAGGAGATTTGGCACATGATAACTAGAACAAGATGCATTGTTTGAATACTAAGAATTGGGTGTTTAGAATTGACAATTTGGTTACAAATTGTTGATGTACTATGCAATTATACTCCATGTAGAGGAAAAGGTTTTGTCTGGTGTTGTACCATTCGATTATATCTTCATTCATCTCCTGAAATGCATTATATTTCCCATTGTATCCATTTTTAATTTGGGAAAGGGGACAACTTGCACTCTACGTTCTCCGCTCCTGGCAAATTGGAATGACTCAGTTTGATTTTTTTCCTTTTCTGATTTTTGTTTCAGAAACATAAAAGCAGATGTTGCCTGCAAAAAAACAAGAGATATGTGTTGTGTATGTTGTTTATGAAAATGTGACGTTGTTCAAAAGTGCAGAGTCATCTACCTGCCACTAGAATATGTCTGAATGATTCCATGCAATATTCTTTTCAGCTCATTCAAGCACAAAACTCTCTTGGTTGTCCATTGATTTCAATAACAGCCAAATCTTTTTCTCATTCAGGGAAGGGTTCCGCAACAGATTAGAAACTATTGTTCGCGGTCAAGCAAGCAGCAGTTCTGAAACAACATCTAGCAATGTCGTCAATGATTCTAGAAATGAACATTCCCAAACAAACACGCTACAGGATGCCCAACGTGAAAACAATGAGCATTCACAACCTAGGAGTTTGGAAAATGAGTTGCCTAATCAATCAGGAGATACTGTTAGCAACATGGCTGTTCAGAGCGTAAATTGGCAAGAAAATGCTAACCAAGGTGGTAATTGGCGGGAACCAACAACCAGTGATGAGAGAGGAAATTGGCAACAGCCAACATATGCTCAGTATAATGAATGGAGAGAGGGCAACGCAGAAGACATGGATACAAATTGGCAAGAAAGTTCAGTTGGTGAGTATCGCCAAGAAAATCTTGGAAATGCTAATGGAGAAGAAAGTCATCCACAGGAAGCTCGGAGGGTTTGGCGTGAGGATGGCTCTCGGGAAGCAGTTGATAATTGGTCAGAAGGGCCTTCTGATCCTCCGAGAGCACGTCGTGCTATCCCAGTTAGAAGGTTCAATAGATTTCATCCACCTGAAGATGATAATGTGTATAGTATGGAACTTAGAGAACTTCTGAGCAGGTATTTGATCACATAAATGGTTCTTTACATTTAAATTAAAGACTTAATAATTAGAAAAAATCCCTAACTATTCAAGAAATTTGAATAAGCTTTTATTTTTATATTTTGTTTAATAAAGCTTTTGTATTTCTATTTTGAGTCAAATAAGCTTTTATGTTTAGCAGTTGATTAATTGTTGTTAGTTAAAACGACACTTGTCATTTTATGTCACGTGATGTTAATGTGACATGCTGACATGGCATGTTAATGTGGCATAATGACTTGGTCACGTGGTAGTTTCACCTTCTAGTCAGTGTTATGTCAGTGTCACGTGGGCATACAATGACATATATCATTTTGACTAATGACAATCAACTGCTAGTCATAGAGGTTTATATGGTCCAAAATAAAAGCACAGGGGACTAATTGAACATAATTGAAGAATGAGGGCATATTTGAATTTTTTTAAATAGTTCAGAAGTTTTTCAAAACTTTATGCTTAAATTAATTATAATTTCTTTGATGGCTGATGTAATTTAATTGGTAGGAGGAGTGTCTCTAACCTTCTTCGAAGTGGCTTCCGGGAAAGTCTAGACCAATTAATACAATCTTATGTGGAAAGACAAGGTCGTTCTCCCATTGATTGGGATCTGCATAGAAACTTGCCAACTCCAGCCTCACCAGAGCATGATCAAGAGCAGCAGAGAGATGAAACAAATGATGATCAGAATGATGCTATTAGCAGGCCTTCTCTGGTGCTACCTTCTCCACCAGTGCCACCACCACAGCCGCTGTGGCATCAGGATTTACATCATACTAGCTGGTCTAGGCACAGCATGCATAGATCAGAAATTGTGAGCCACCTTTCTTAGTGTTGCAACTGTATATTATTATCACCACTGAATCTGGTTATTCTATTCTGTTCTTTATATTATTGTGTTAAGTTTTCTCTTGGAATAATTTTTAACATAAAGAGGTGAGCCTTAGGAATTCTGATTGTGAGTTTCATATCATTTGGACGTAAAATTATTTTTGGAAATGATCCCATATCGAGAGATATTTTGTTGGATAAATAATTGGATTTTATCATCCCTAATTGTGGTTGTAACTTCTTTTTTCCATCCAATGGTGAATTTCTAGCGATAATAATCAATATTATGAAAGAACTTTTTGGGTAGCTGAGTGTAATTATGCTACTTCTTTTGTAGCATTATAGTTTTTTAGTTTTGACCAGTTCAATAGATGCTGAGCGTTCTCATGAAATAGGCCCAGATCTCTTACTTTGAGTCCCTGTGCAGCACTTTTCATTACTCTGCATCTTTTAAGTTTTTAATGAAACTACTTATTTTGAGCAGGAATGGGAGATGATTAATGATCTAAGAGCTGATATGGCAAGACTCCAGCAGGGCATGAGCCACATGCAGAGGATGTTGGAAGCCTGTATGGATATGCAACTGGAGTTACAGCGATCTGTCAGGCAGGAAGTTTCTGCAGCTTTGAATCGATCTGCTGGTGAAAAAGGTTGGTATATCATCCTAACTATTTCTTTCATTCAATGCATTATGTTGGTTTCTTTCCTCTTTGTCAGTGCCTTGAGGTAGCTTTCATTGTTTCCTGTTTATAATTTTTCACTTGCATTTCAGGTTTGAGTGCAGAAACATCAGAGGATGGGTCTAAATGGGGTCATGTGAGGAAAGGGACTTGCTGTGTTTGTTGTGATAGCCATATCGATTCACTTTTGTACAGGTTTACTTTCTTTGCAATATCTTTTCATGGTCAATTTCATGCACTAGCATTGGTGTATGAAGATGTGCTCCTTGTTACTGATTATATGTGTCAATCGTTTTTTCACATTAAAAAAAAAATGCTTGCAGATGTGGACACATGTGCACTTGTTCAAAATGTGCGAATGAATTGGTTCGTGGTGGAGGAAAATGCCCATTGTGTCGAGCACCTATTGTGGAGGTAATCCGTGCATACTCAATACTGTAAAGAGATGAAAGAACAGAATAAGAATTGAACCAGAGTGACTGGTAAGGTCTAAAGAGAGCCAATGTTAGTTAAGGCTCCAATTTGTAGAGTGTTCAGTTGTTGCCAATGTTTTTCTGATTATATGTGGAACACTATGCAGTGTATAATTGGAATAACAGTTGGCATCATTGATTCATCATTCATGCGTAAATAAAATGTCGTCCATAAATTTTTTTTTTTCTGTTTTTGTTTATTTTCTTCTGTCTCCTCCCTTCGGAACTAGCTCTGGTTGCCTATTTCATTCCTTCATTATCTATCATCATCTTCCTAGGGTAATCAAACAAGTTTGCCCTGGAAATATGCTTTGTGAATGCTAATTTAAACTGTGGTTGGAGTTTAAGCAGTTAGCATGGGTTGTAAATTTGTTGAAGTTGTTGACCATAAATGGGTAAGAGCTTTCTATCATTGGGTAGAGTGCAACTGTAATATGCTTAATATATATGAATGGGGGGAATTCACGTACATTTTTATCAAGGCAATTAAAACAGATATCCGAAATGATTATTTTTGATAGTAACTTAATATGTAGCATATAATTACTTGAATTTCTAAGGGTCAAACTCGAGATTGAGTACTCACTTTACTGCATTGGTCAAGTTACTCTCTACTAGTAGACAATGAGAATGAGCCCATTGCGAGGTGGCAAAGACAGTAAACGCCTCTCTAATAGTTAATAGCTCAGCAGAGTTACAATCCATTATCTACGCCGACCGTTTTGAGGACATATATAATTCTCATTGTACCTTGCTCGTCTTGAAGGACTTCCCTGATATTTGACATTGAACTTCATTAGTGGGGGGTCTCCTGAGACTTGTTTCCTTTGGGAGGTTACATCGTCAAATGTGGATGTCGTGTGATGTCAGTGATCCATGTAGGGTCTTCCCATCCCAGCATTTTGCTTTATACCACCATGCAATTCCTAGCTTGCTGATATTAAAAGCTTGTAGGCCATCCCGCACTCTCCCTTTCAAAACCATTTAATCGTGATGTTGCGAAAGGGCCCATAACGTGGCTAAGGAAGCCATGTGCCCACCCGCCTGATTCCACACTTGTTA